TGGTTTTAGTAGGCAGCAGGTTGCATCTTTGTGGAGTGTTATTTTTGATTGAAATTACATATGGATTGACTTCTATGGTGTGTATGTCATCACACCTTTGATTCTTTTAATTTCCAAGTGAAGATGCTCATTCTCTATGGTATATTCTATGATAGCATTAAGCTCTTTACAAAATCTGAAAATGAGTTTCTTTAGATTATTCTTTTGGTCCTTATGCTTATATCTCTTTGTTTGCTTGGGATTTAGGCGTGAACCACTATTTTCTATGTTAACCCATTTTCTTAACTTTATAAAGTTGCACCTCTAATGTTCGATGAATTGCTCCCAAAAGAAAGCCATGAATATTTGCTTGCATTAAAGGCTTTATGTGGCAAGGTAGTCTTTGTGGAGCCTTCTTTAATACATTGTCTAGAGTAAAAGAGAATCTAAAAATGCATTTGGTTATCTAATGAGTTATGTGTAAAGCCAAAGATCTTTCTTCCATAAGTTTTTCTTCTTTAAAGTTGAAACTCAATGTTTGTAAGTGATTATCATTTACTTTGAAAGTATGGCAATAGTATATCATCCCCTTTAAAACTTGAGAGGGGTTATTTAAAGTGATTCCTTCATGTGCAAAGCTCTTTCATACATATGTTTGCTTTATCCATTACATAGGTGACATTTACATTGTGTTGGTGGAATGTGAATTTCCTTGGGTTTGAGGGAAATAAGTTGCCTTTTTTCCGCTTTATCCTAGTCGTTTTGTTCAATACATGTATTAAGTTAAATTGTGTATATATGAACATTTGTCAATGAAGCTTTGTAGTGTGTATGTCATCACACCTCTAATCTTTCTTTTTAGTGAATGCTTTCATTCTTGTGGTGTATTTCATAGAAACTTGTGTAGATAGTTCCTCTCCCATATGTTTATTTGAGCAAATAAGTAGCATTTGAAATCTTTTTTTTTGGTTCATGACATTTGGCTTAAAGATTTAGGTGCGAACCATAGAAAATGTATAAGAGGTTACTTTGATTTTTCTACCATAGCATGCGTATGAGATGTTTGTAGCAATGCCCATCAAAGGATTGTTCATATACTTATGTTTTTGTCCCATATACATATTTCTCTTGTGAATGTGGAAGTTCCAATAGGAGGAGGAGCATGTGTTCTAAGCATATTTCCCTTGCAATTGAGTATCTTGCTTCATGAGAAGGGTTGGTGGTTGGAGTTGTATGTTACTTCCCTTAAGAAAAATTTCTGATGCTAAGCTACGATAAGTGCATATGCTTTCCGGTAAAAAAAAAGTTGTGTAAGGAAGCTTATGATTAAGTTGCCTTCATCATTATTATTTAAAGAATACATCATGGTTTTATGAGTCATTTTGAAGGTTATAGGAATGTTGGGAGGCAATGGGTTATGAGCACCTTCCATGAATTTCTTTCTTTAGCATATGTAAATGAGCTTGCTTTCTTTAAAGAGACATGATAACTTCATCATTTGTTCCCAAACCATGTTGGTGGAAGATCTCCTCTTCTAGGTGAATTATATTATACTATACGGTGGCTTTTAAACAAAATGAAAGCCTTGTCATTCTTCAACTACATGCAGAATTTTATTGTTTCAATGTTCCAAAGAGCTTTAGAATCAAGCCACATGCAGTTTTTTTTTTTACTATTTTGGAGCTCCTAATTTGTGTTGGGAACATAGTGTGTACAAATTTTCACTATGTCGATGTCCTAAAATATTTTGGTGATATAGTGTGTGTAGTTTCTTCATTATTTTGACCTTTAGATTGCTTTGGAAACAAGAGAAGTGCATAATTTCTACTATTAGCTTCCAAATTGTTTTTTTTGGAAAATAAATATCAGTGCAGTTTTCCTATCATTTTAAGCTTCTAAATTATCTCGGCAATAAACTAAGTGCAGATTTTACTGTTTTTAAAGTTCCAAACTGCTTTTGGAAATTACTAAATGCAGTTTTTTGTCTATTGTTTAGCTTCCAAATCGCATTGGGAAGCATGGTAGGTAAAAGTTTTTGTTGTTTTTTTTTTTTAAAGCCCCTAACTGATATCAAACACTAGTAAGTGCAGATTTTAATGTTTTTGAACTTTCACATCATCGTAGAAATGAGATACATGCAGATTTTTAACGTTTTTGAGCTTCCGGATGGTTGTAGAAAGTAATGCATGCAGTTTTTGTTGTTTTTGAGCCTCCGAATTGTGGTTGGAATGATATAAGTGCAGAATTTTCATGGTTCTATGCTCCAAATCAATTTGTAGGTAAGTTAGATACAAGTTTTCATTAGTCTTGTGCCTTGAGTTGAGCTAGAGAAGGGCCAGATTTTTTTTTATTTGTTTCATGCTTCAAATTGTTTGCGGAAATGGGTAGATGTACACTTTCATTTGTTTTGGTGTCTCAAATTATTTCAATAAGATAAAATCATGCATTTGTTTGGTCTCCTTGAGTTATAATTGGTTAGGGGAGTTTCATGGGTTTAAGCAAACAGTTTCATTAGTAGAGTTCAGGGATAATATCAAATAATCATGAGTTTCATATCTTCTTTTGTCGCCATGGAAACATAACATTAGTTTTGGATTTTGGCAAGAATCATTGTTATGAGAGCATGAATTTTATTACATGGTAAAAGTAGTCCAAAGCATGAATTATTATTAGCTTCGTCGTTCTCCACAGTACATGATTGCAAGTTGCTTTTGGATATTTGTTGGCA